GAAATTTCAGTGTTGCATCACAGGTTATAGGACAGTAGGAAAGAGGAGCACACAGCACATGTTAAGTGAAAAATAGCTATACTAAACAAAATAAAAATAATCTAACTCTAGCATCAATAATAAGTATAAAATCTCTATCTTGAAAATATAATACGCAGTAGATGTAAAAATTTAAAATTGACAAAATAAGAGGCAAGTATAAAGTACTGTGTAATCTAGTGCAAGTAAAGTGTAGTTATATGTTAGCATCTGTACATTAGCAGCAGTATGTTTACATCTGTACATTAGCAGCAGTATGTTTACATCTGTACATCAGCAGCAGTATGTTTACATCTGTACATTAGCAACAGTATGTTTACATCTGTACATTAGCAGCAGTATGTTTACATCTGTACATTAGCAGCATTATGTTTACATCTGTACATTAGCAGCAGTATGTTTACATCTGTACATTAGCAGCAGTATGTTTACATCTGTACATTAGCAGCAGTATGTTTACATCTGTACATTAGCAGCAGTATGTTTACAACTGTATATTGGCTGCTGTGCAGAGTCATAGAAGGTCTTCAGGAGTGGCCCCTGCACTCCAAAAGACCTGAGCCTCCTCAGTAGGTAGAGCCGGCTCTGGCCCTTCTTGAAGAGGGCATCTGTGTTATGAGTCCAGTCCAGTTTGTCATTCAGATGAACACCCAGGTACTTGTAAGAGTCCACTCTCTCAATGTCCTTTCCCTGGATGTTCACTGGAGCTGGAGCGGCAGAGTGATGTCTGCGGAAATCCACCACCATCTCCTTGGTCTTCCTCACGTTGATGAGGAGGTGGTTCATCTCCTTGGTCTTCCTCACGTTGATGAGGAGGTGGTTCATCTCCTTGGTCTTCCTCACGTTGATGAGGAGGTGGTTCCGCTGACACCAGTCCACAAAGTCTTGTATTACTCCTCTGTACTCTGCGTCATTGTTCTCAGAGCTGAGTCCGATGATGGCAGAGTCGTCAGAGAACTTCTGTAGAACACAACCGTGTTGTGAGGTGATGAGTCAATGTACATGTATCTACAAACTTCTCACATGAAACTCTTAGAACTTTTGAGTAGATATTAATTATGGGCAAATGACACCAATGCTCCGGAGCTTGTGTCATTCTTTACGAAGCACATTGCTTCAAAACACTGCGTTGGAGCATGTATCAACACAACCGGTTGGTTAAAAAGTTAAGAAGCCTGTCTAATTTGGCAGGGTCTAGGAACTTGCAGCACCAAAGCGACTACACAAGACCCGTGGTGATGGAAACTGCTATTTCCGTGCTTTGAGTTATATATTCACAGGATCTGAGGAATATCAATCAATCAATCAATCAACTTTATTTGTATGGCGCCTTTCCAACACAAGGCCACTCAAAGCGCCTCACAACCCACATAATATCACACAAATCAGAGACATCAATAAATACATTAAAAACAGAATAAAAATCACAAGTAATGGAAAAAAAAAAAAAAAAAAAAAAAAAAACGTAAAAATATTAAAAGCACACACGGAAAGGGATTAAAATAATAAATAACCACAATGCATTAAAAAAAGGAGTATGTATCAATAAATATCCTTCAGCCGTATGCATCAGCTAAAAAGATACAGTTTTTAGCCCTGATTTAAAAATTGCCAGAGTAGATGCTAGCCTCACATCTTCAGGAAGATTGTTCCAGATTTTAGCTCCATAAATCTCAAACGCTGCCTCCCCATGTTTAGTTCTGACTCTTGGAATCAGTAAGAGGCTACCTCCTGTGCTCATCAGAGTTCGGGCCGGTTCATATGGGACTAACAAGTCGCTTAAGTACTTGGTGCGAGGCCATGGAGAGACTTGTACACAAGCAGTGCTGCTTTGAAGTCTATTCTCTGAGCCACAGGAAGCCAGTGCAGAGACCTGAGAACTGGACTAATGTGGTCATATTTCCTGGTCCATGGGTCAGGACTCGAGCTGCTGCATTTTGAATGTACTGCAGTTGTTTTACAAGCCTGTTTGGGACAGACCTGTGAGCAGGCCATTGCAGTAGTCTAACCTACTGGAGACAAATGCATGGTATGAGAATCTCCAGGTCTGCTTTAGACACTATGTTTCTAATTTTGGCAATGTTTTTCAGATGGTAAAATGCTGCTGAATACCACCTCTCTCTGTGATAGTGTGGTTCAACATATGAACATCAGCATTAAAGACAAATTTCCTGTTACCTCAATCAGTTAATAAAATGACTACATGACATGCTACTGCTATGGATAAGTGTGGTGTGTGGGCAACAGATGCAGAAATCATGGCCGCAGCTTCCCTCATAGGCAATGATGTAATAGTGTATACAAAGCATGGGGGAAGTATGCAGTGGGCTGACATATCCAGCATCTTTCAATCTACAGGAGACCATCAGAATCTGCAATATACCTTGAGAAGAAGTCCGAGCACTTTAGTGCTGTGAATGGTGTCGAGTGATGAGACTGTATGGTGTAGTAAGGTTACTGGCAACGCACCATTACAGTATTCCAATAGGCTGTATGTAGTAAGAGTAGAAGTAAAAAACACTTCTTGCTTGACAACTATGTTATTGCTTAGGTCATACCCAAAGATGTAAGTCCAAGTCAGTAGCAGGGGTGTAATCTTTTGGCCGTAAGTTTAGGGTAGGTTGTACTCCATACATCAGCATCTAGGCACGCAGTTTTTACCCCCTTATCAGTGGCAGGACGTGTGTATTCTGGCTCCTCGAGATTCATATGTTTAAGCTCGGAGCCGACTTTGGCTGGAATCTAGAGTGCCTAGGGCTACTTATATAACTCCCAAGGTTAGTATATATCATGGCGTGGTGGTCCGTATACCAACCCCATGTGCCTTGACTAGACAGACTTGTGGTAGGACAAACTGATGACTGCAGCTGAGAACCTAAATAGCATTGCGCGAGTAGTATCCACCATGAAATCATAATTAGCGAAGTCTAGTCCAAAAGTTCTTTGCGAGTAATTCCCCTTAGATCTTTGCAATGTTATACTACATAATAGAGTTCTTTAGCGAAGTTTCCCATATAGATTCTTTATTGACGAGATTTCATACGGCAATTCGCTACTCTTTTCAGCCCATCCATAGCCACACCACAAACTCCCAAGTCTACAAAGCGCACCATCGTGCAGAGAATCGACAGTTCGGATCATTCTGATGAAGGTGGACGCCATCTTGGATCGCGATCAAGGCTAGTTCTAGCTTGTCAAAATGGGCAGTGCTCTTACCAGAAATTGCTTGGGAGATAGGCATATACAGCTTTCCACACACCACAGAGCCATGAGCAGTGCACAGACGGATGTTGATGATGAGGGAAGAAATTGGAGCGGTAATACGGTTTTAGTATAAGTATTATCACCTGATCCAAATAACTTTGAGTACAATAAATATGAATTATTTTTATCTTTGATGTGATACATTCAGGGAGAATTACACAAAATTGGCACAGTGCCGGTTCTATAGTCAATCTAAATAGGATAATAATCTTCTAACAGCTTCTATACTGATTTCGTGTCCGGATGGGGTTCCTCTATGTGGTTTCATATTGATGCACGCAGCGGCTTTGAAAGAAGATATGCCCGTGTTGTGACCATACTACAGATAGTGTAAGAGTAAGTCTAATAATGAGAGTATTAAAGTCCTAGTCCCACTTCATCACCAGTCAACTGAGGGATTCTTACTTGTCTACTGTCTACCACTCCGATTTTATCATTTTAAAATACGTTGTGTCTTAACATCCCGTTTCATTGGGTGACTGAACTCAATAGACGGTAGCTTTCTCATTCATGTTTGAGGTCTGGATATTGTATTGTAGGTGGTAAGATCCTATAATATCATGAGACTTTAGCTAGTTGTGGCTGTTCTTACAGTGTAAATCTCCGTGTTCCCCGCAGAGATGTTCTCGCATCCAGCAGAGAAGATGAAATGATTGCATAATGTCAGTTCATAAAAATTGGTTTCTCTTATTACTACTATTATCAACCCGCTTGTATACAGTGTAATAGTACATTAATTATAATTTGAACTAAACTAGTAGATTGGATATGATTCAGCTTGTGTAAGGAATTACAAGCAGTGAAAAGTGCCTGAGTGGATGTCTTTAGCGGCGCAACGACTCATGTGGATATCCTCTCACTCTGCATTGCAGTAGAACGAGCAGCGCAACATGACTGTCGTTCCTCTTAGCCCCTACATGTCGCGGAATATTTGAATTATTGCTCAACACCAGCAGGCTTCGCTACTTCAAAATCCTCGTACATTTATTTATTTTCCGCTAATAACAAAAAAATATATATTGATTATTGAGGGTAGTAATATATTACAATTTTATCTGGCCTTTTGCATTTATAATATATCCATTACTATAATGATATAAGGAGTTAAGATAAATTATGTTAGATTCGCCCCCCCCAGCCCCCACCCCTTGCCCCCAACGCAAAATAGTATGATAATGTAGCTGACTCTAATTTTAGCACTCAAATCAGAGTGCTGGCTCCATTTCTTGACTTACCTCACCACCTTGTGTGCTCATCCAAAGTGGCGCAATCTAAGATTTCACAAGCAGGATGTACGGGGATATGTGCAGTAACGAGAGATAGCGATGCCTAGCGGTAAGTAGTATTGACCACCAATCGCCACGGGCGCTCTCGATTCATGATGTACAACGTTCCGGAGTTTTCTGCTGGCTGATTGCTTGCTATTAAAAGCGTTGTCCTTGTATCTTCAGTGGTTTAGGTACCACAGTAAATGTTTTGTACATGAAAAACAGTCTCGCTTTTCACTAACTCGGTCTAGAATTCCTGAAATTCGTTTCGTGCGTTATTGACGCCACATGTGTTAAGGTATGTACTATGTGAGTACATCGTACTGCTTACCTGGGTTAGAGGCGATTTAATGGTGTAAGTCAACATAACAATAAACCTGACAAACGGAACACTGCTGTGGCACGTTACATAACCCCCACCAGAGCGGGTTAGTCGTCCCCGACAACCCCATCAAATAACACATAGTCTCTCAAGTGACCAGGTTGACGACGTTGGCGAATTGGGCGTCTGGGAGACAGATGAACTTGGACAAGTAATCCGTCTACTTCACCAACAGTCTCAGGAGCATAGGGGCGGTACAGAGCTAGCCGGTCTCTGTGCAATACCACAAAACGGCCCTTGTTTGGAATGCGTACACGGTATACCACGTCGGACAGGTGTGCCACAACTTCGGCTGGCCCCCTCCAATGACTGCACAGCTTAGGAGAGATACCTTTCTTTCGATCGGGGCAATAAACCCACACTTTGTCCCCAGGTTGGAAGGGCTGACCGCGGCAGTGACTGTCATAGGCCCTCTTCTGACGTACCCCGGAACTGGCTTGAACTTGGCGAGTATAGTCATGCACCACCCGCAGGTGCTCTCTGAGTCTTTGGAAATAGTCCATCTCGTGCCCTCCTGCAATCTCGGGCTCCGGAGGGCTCCCGAACACCAGATCCACGGGTGTGCGGAGCTCTCGACCGAACATGAGAGCAGCTGGGGTGCACTGACTGGACTCCTGGACTGCAGTTCGATAGGCCCAGAGGACGAGGGGAAGATAACGGTCCCAGTCACGCTGGTGCTTGCTGACCAGGATAGCAAGTTGGGTAGCCAAAGTCCGATTAAACCTCTCCACTAGACCGTCACTTTGGGGGTGGAGAAGAGTTGTCCGCGCCTTCTTAATTGCGAGCAGTCTGCAAACTTCACTGAACACCTGGGATTCAAAGTTCCGCCCCTGGTCACTATGAAGCTCAGAGGGCACTCCAAAACGGGTGAACATCTCATCAACCAGTCTTCCAGCTGTTGTGGCGGCACTTTGATCTGGTACAGCATAGGCTTCCGGCCACTTCGTAAAATAGTCCATGGCTACTAGGACGTAGCGGTTTCCAGTATCGGTCACAGGAAAGGGCCCAAGAATATCCACACCTACTCGTTCCATTGGAGCCCCGACCAGGTATTGCTGAAGGGGGGCATGTGAGCGCTGGGTGGGACCTTTCCGAGCAGTGCACAAATCACAGCAATGCACATGTATTTCCACGTCCTGTCGGCAGCCGGGCCAGTAGAAACGTCCCCTAAGCCGATGGAGGGTCTTGGAGATGCCAAAGTGGCCTGAGCCAATTGAACCGTGCACACTCTGAAGGACCTGAGGTTGAAGTGAACGGGGCACTAATAACTGTAAGATGTCTTTGCCCTGCCCTGGAGCCCGCCACCTCCGGAACAGCAAGCCGTTACGAAGCTCAATGTTTCCCCACTGAGAGTAATAGGCCTTAATATCAGTGCCATGGGGGGAGACTGCCGGCCATTCAGGACGTCTGGGCAGTTCCAGCCACTTCCTGATCAGGGCCAGGGTGGTATCGGACTCTTGCTGTTGCTGCAGCTGTTCTGAAGACAGGTCATCAGGGGGGTTAATTGTGGCAGTGGAAACCCTAGGCTTGTCCCGATCCCGCTCTTCCTGGCGCTCGCAGTAACGACACTCTGCTATAACACACGGGCGTCGTGACAGGGCATCCGCATTATTGTGTTGTTGTCCAGGGCGATGTTGAATGTCAAAATTGTAAGTTTGGAGAACTTCCAGCCAACGAGCTACTTGTCCCTCTGGCTGCTTGAAACTTAAAAGCCAGGTCAGTGAGGCATGATCTGTGCGCAGGAGGAACTTGTTGCCGTGCAAATAGGGGCGAAAATGGTGTACTGCCATCACTACGGCCAACAGCTCTCGGCGTGTGACACAGTAGTTCCTCTCCTCACGACTGAGAGCGCGACTGTAGTACCCCACTACTCGCTCTCCTTCGCCTCCCTGCTGTGAAAGGACAGCCCCAATTCCGGTGCCACTAGCGTCTGTGTCCACCACATAGGGGAGATCTACGTGCGGGTACGCAAGGATGGGCGCGGCTGTGAGGGCTGCTTTTAGCTGGTTGAAAGCAGTGTCACAGCTGTTAGTCCAAACGAAAGGCTTTCCTTTGTCCGTCAGGCGGTGTAGGGGCCCTGCGACAGAGGCAAAGTTCCTGAAAAAGCGGCGATAGTAGGACGCCAGTCCCAAGAAACTGCGGAGGTCACGTACGTTAACCGGGATCGGCCAATCCTGGACAGCCGCTACTTTCTCTGGGTTAGTCGCTACTCCTTCAGCACTGACCACATGACCCAGGAAAGTAGTCTCTCTCTGCAGAAGGTGGCACTTGGCAGGGTTCAGCCGCAGACCAGCGTGACAAATAGCACTGAAGACGCCGCTCAGGTGGCCCAAAGCTTTGCTGAAATCACTCGCATGGACCAGCAAGTCATCCAGGTACACCACACAATGGCTGCGAGGAATGTCGGTGAGCACCCGCTCTATGAGACGCTCAAACGTTGCCGGCGCATTGCACAGGCCAAATGGCATTACACGAAACTGCCAGAGTCCTTGCCCGAATGTGAATGCAGTCTTTGCCCAGGCCTGGGGGCTGAGCTCCACCTGCCAATATCCACTTCGCATGTCGAGGGAGCTGAACCAACTTGATCCACTAATGTAATCCAGAGCATCGTCGATGCGGGGTAGTGGATAAGAGTCCTTCTTTGTGACCGCGTTGAGACGACGGTAATCCACACAGAACCGCCACCCACCCAATCTCTTGCGCACAAGAACTACTGGAGCTGCCCAAGGACTGCTGGATGGTTCTATTATTCCAGCCGCAAGCATTTTGTGGATCATGTCCTCTGCTAACTGTCTCTTTGAAAGGGCGAGCCGATGGGGCCTAAGGCGTATTGGGGGGGCCGAACCAGTGTCAATAGAGTGCTGGACAAGCCGAGTTTGTGTACAGTCCTCATCTCGAGCGGCAAAGATGTCCACATACCTGTCCAAGAGATGTTTCAACTGCTCTTTTTGACACTGATCTAGGCCCTCACTACTGCGCTGCCACAGCTCTTTGACAGCATTCACAGTCTCCGTGGATGGGGGTGGTATGGCACGGGGACTGGCTGTGCAAGCGCCAGCCGGTGTTGGGGAGCGGTGATCTGCCGCCTGGACCGCTGCTGAGACCACCGCTGGAACCGCCACTGCTGGGACCGCCACATCTGGGACCACCGCCGCTGGGACCGCCTGGACCGCTACTGCTGGGACCACCTGGACCTCGACTGCCTCGGCCACCTGGACTGCCGCCGCTGGGACCGCCTGGACCGCCGCTTCTGGAACCGCCTGGACCGTCGCCACTGGGACCGCCTGGACTGCCGCCGCTAGGACCGCCTGGGCCTCGACTGCCTGGACCTCGACCGCCTGGACCACCCGGTCCGCCGCCGCTGGGACCGCCTGGACCGCCGCTTCTGGGACCGCCTGGACCGTCACCGCTGGGACCACCTGGACCGCCGCCGCTGGGACCGCCTGGACCTTGACTGCCTGGACCACCTGGACTGCCGCTGCTGGGACCGCCTGGACCGCCCCCGCTGGGACCGCCTGGACAGCCGCTTCTGGAACCGCCTGGACCGCCGCCGCTGGGACCGCCTGGACCGCCGCCACTGGGATCGCCTGGACCGTCACCGCTGGGACCGCCTGGACCGCCGCCGCTGGGACCACCTGGACCGCCGCCGCTGGGACCGCCTGGATCTGGACCGCCACCGCTGGAACCACCCCCCTTGGAGTGACTTTCCGGGTTCTCTGCCTCTTTCTTGTCCGCTTTTCAGGCTGGAGATCAACTGTGAGAGGCCCAAGAGGGAGGGTCGACTTCACAAGGTCAACCACAGCACCCCAGTGAACTAACAAGTCTAATCCAATGATACAAGGGTCCTGTATTCGCGCTAACCAGAATTCGTGTTCCAACATTTGGTCTTGAACTTCAATCCGCACACTTTTTTTTCCTTGCATACCTGCCCTCTCTCCTGTGACAGTGGTGAGCTGCATGTGTGTTGGTGACCAGGAGGTGGAAAGTGGGCCTGTTGTACCAGGGAGTACTCCTGGCTGTACGAGCGAGATAGTGGACCCTGTATCAATCAGTGCACGACAGGGTTGGCCATCTACAACGCAATCCAGGTTGGCCCACCTCAGTGCATTGTCCTTGTAGAGGTGCAGGTTTTTGGGGTGGGGTCTTCCTCTCTACTCCACCCCCCGATCGTTTCCCGTTGGCTGTGGCTCCCTAGCTTTTGGGGTTGGTGCAGGGCAGTTTCGAGCTAAGTGTCCGGGTTCATCACAGCGAAAACAGCGATCGGTGGCAGTTCTGCGACGCCCCCTGGGGGCTGGAGTACGGAGCTGATAAACTTCTTCAACTCCGACTTCTTCATAATCCACTTGGCGAACTCGCTGCAGCATATTTGTGGCCCTTCCCAGGTTTGGCCGTGTGGAGAGCACTATCTCCGCCCGTTCAGCTTCCTGGAGAGCTTCATTCAGGCAGCAAGGGCGAGCAAGACGCACATATTGACGTAGCCTTTCTGGGGTAAGACCTTGGAGAAATGCATGAAGTGCGAGTTCGTCACGTGCAGCAATTGGAAACTGTGGGTAACCACGCTGGGTATGGAATTGTATATTGGCCGCGAAGGTACCCAAGTTTTCCCCTTCCTTCCGATATAGGCCACTCAGCTGCTCCCTGCTCTCTTCCGCATGCAGGCGCTTTCCAAAGCGCCGTTCGAGACCGATCATCAGGGCCCGTAAATCTTGCTGATCCTCTAGGGACAAGTCAAGGAGAATTTGAAGGGCGACACCTTCTAATGTCAAGGCAAGGTGGGTGGCAGTTTCATCGTCGCTCCAGCCACTATGCCATGATGCTAGTCTAACTTGGGCAAGGAAGGGTTCTACTGGTGTGGTTCCACTGTACTTGGGTAGTTTAGCAGGGGTCTTTGGTGTAATCATCTGTCTTGGGGCATGTGTTATCACAGTTTGCCTCTGAGTATGTGCTGAGCCCCTCCCTAGTAAGTCATTCACTTGGACATTCTGCTCTATGTTGCCTGTTTGAGAGCTTATATCTTTCCTGACAGCCTCCAGGGGGCGTCGTGGCCTCAATATGGTCTGTTTACTTGAAGTGTGGTGTGGACTAGTCCTACCAGCCTCCAGGGGGCGCTGTGGTCTCTCTGTGCTCTGAAGCGTAGTGTGGAGGAGTCCAACCAGCCTCCAGAGGGCGCTGTGGCCTTGCAGTACTGTACCCATCTGCAGCATGTCTCTCCTGAAATCTCTTGGGCTTGGCTCCTTCAACCTCCTCAAGAAGACGGCAGTTTTCCAGTACTGCGCGTTCCAGTTCTTCAATCTCCCTCTCCATTTCTTCACTTTTTATGGGAATTATCCCACTTCTGACACCAATGTGACGTTTTAGTCAAATAAGTCACGGGAGATAGAGTTTCTTTGCTCAACTCGTGCCACATACACCGCAAGACCCCGAGAAGGCAGTTTTATTGCAGTTTTAACATTAGACTGCATAACACACTGAAAGCATAGGACCCTATCAATTAACATGGTGAGCTCAGTCATGGTGCAACACTTAACAGTCAACATAACAATAAACCTGACAAACGGAACACTGCTGTGGCACGTTACAGTATTTTACACACCTGAATTACAAACAGAGATTGCATTGGGGCTGCGGTCATTATTGGTTTGAGAGTTATCAAGTGTTATCAAAGAAAAAATTATCTGAAGAATTGCATTAAAGTCAATGGAGTGTTCTGCTGCCGTGAGGAGCTGTATAATAAATTATGATGAAATATTATAATATATTCTAACGTTTAAATTAATACATTCGAACACGAAACTAGCGGTATTCTTTTAATTATATATTGTGTTAGCAGTGCATTGATTTTGTACCATTTCATCAGTGATTGTTGTACAGCTTACAAGAAGTTGTGCTAATGCTAATGTTAGCATACGTATCAGATCGCAAATAAAACTAGGTGGCTCCGTGGGATGAGAGCGTAGGGGAAATGAGAAGCCATCGAGCGAGTTGGGGGGCGGTGCTAAACATTCAAACATTGCAGAAACGGGTATAGCGCCTTTAATGAATCTTAATTAACGTGTTATAGTAAATATATTAACTTATTCATGGTCAACATGCTTGTATGTTTTTCAAGTTAAATCTTCTGAATACGATAGCATGGGCAGGGGAGGACTAAACAGGCAATCACAAACCCTGCACACTCTTTACAACCATTTTGTGTGATACTGTACTGTAACTGCACTGCAAATATTTATCCATGTCTGCTTACACCATAGCAGCAGGAGATGTGTCCTCCTCCACTGCCTCCACAGAGGAACCATTTCTGCGAGTGTGTTTGTAACCCAACTTAGAACATCTCAGTGTTCACTTACCACAACAAAGACACATTGTTGGTCCCTCTGAAGGATAATGAGCGCGAGAGCCATGAATAATCAGCAGCGTGTCAGGCTGCTGTAGTGTGGTGCCTCTCAGATGGCATCAGATCTTTGTGACAGAATGCTTCCAGACCGTTTGATGTCTGCATACGCCATTTCAACAGTGGCTTTTGGGGGGGAAATTGAAACAAACTACTGCTTCCTGTGATCCTTCTGCACTGTACATGCTTGTCACAAATGCTCAGCTTTACTTTGACATTAAGTAATGAGGCTGCAGAACAGGTCAAAAGGCCCCCCATTACTTAAGCTGCCATCTCATAAACTCATTTCTGCTGGATACCTGCTGTGGTTGGGATGAAATAATCAGTCAGAAATTCAAAGATGGGAAGATTTCATTGTAAATATCACATTAGAAGGAAATTGTAATTATGGGAAGGAAATGGTTTTCTGATGCTCGGCTTGAATTTTGAAATGAAGGAAAATGGACTTATGTAAATATTTAATCATGTGCTTCTAACGCCGGCCACAGGGAGATGAGCCTCACATGAACTTGTCAAGCTTGTCTCTCTCTGAGGTGAAGCTTAAAGAACAACTATTATACCCTATTTGTGTTCCTTAAATGGAATCTTAAGTACTGCAGCATTTTGTATCGCTTGAAATATTTTATATAGAGCTCTACATATCTGTAGTATGAAAAAAAACAGCAGAAACTGCGTTTATTTACTGGTTAGGACAGTGTGGTCCAAAGGATGGAAACACCGCTCTCTACTGGTCAATGCACACAGTTGTAATTAAGTTGTAATTATGTAAATTGTATGGAGCCCTCCCACTCCCGCCCTCCCTGATGGACTCCCCCATCATCTCTGTGGAGTCCTTTTGTTTCCTGGGCACCACCATCACCAGGACCTCAAGTGGGAGCCAACCATCAGCTCCCTCATCAAGAAGGCCCAGCAGAGGATGTACTTCCTGAGGCAGCTCAGGAAAGCCAAGCTGCCTGCACATATGTTGGTGCAGTTCTACACGGCCATCATCGAGTCCATCCTCACCTCCTCCATCACCGTGTGGTTCGCTGGAGCCACAGTCAGGGACAAACAGAGACTACAGCGCATCGTGCGCTCTGCAGAGAAGGTGAACGGCCGCAGCCTCCCATCACTGCAGGACCTGTACGTCGCCAGGGCTCGAGGCCGGGCTGGTCGTATCACAGCCGACCCCTCTCACCCTGCACATGGACTGTCCCAACCACTCCCCTCAGGCAGGAGACTGCGGTCCATCCATACCAGAACCTCCAGCCATAAGAACAGTTTCTTCCCCTCTTCTCATGAACATCATCACTGACCTCTGCCCTTTATGACCGTCAATTTACTGTCACTTTACTGCACTGCTAAATGTCTATTATGTGCACCTAGTCCACTTGTATAGAAGTAATTTGAATAGATTATTATCTTATGCTTGCCTTATTCTATTCTCTACTTTTTAACTTGTTTGCACAGAGAGCCCAAGCAATTTCCATCTTTGTTATTTCTTGTTACTCACATGGAAATAAAAATTATTCTGATTCCGGACATTTTGTCATGGGCTGAATGAGTAAATGCTGTAACTAGTGACTAAACTCTAATGATTTAAAACCCTCACCCATTTCAAAGTTTTTTTCCTCTAACTCTGTCCCATTCAACAGTGTGATGTCATTGGACACTTATAAAGGGTAGACATGTGTTCATAAGCTGTTAACCATACTGTGTGGAAAGGAGGGGGACTTTCAGCCAAGTGACATTTCAGGTCCATGCCCACATGCTCAGCAGGGGCCTCCTATGCACTGGCCCCTGGGAGTCAGTGGGGTGGCTGCCGATGCCAATAAACCTAAAATATGCATGAGATTCAATGCTCTTTAAGCATCAAGAATTTAGGTGATATCACTGTACTTGCTTAAATGAAGAGTAATAACACAGGTGACTTGTTGGAATTCTATTTTCAATGGTCGTGTAATGTAGAATATTTGTAGTAGTAATAATTTAGATATTTTTATTTAGGGTTTTATCAATAGCAGGGCCAGGACTGAATAAAGCTTGCAACCATTCATGATTTGAAGTATGCTGTTGTGTTCCATTCTTACATGTTTTGATATGACCTATTTTAAATTGTAAGGTTTTAACTAATTATTTTCATATTGTAATGTTTGCAGTGTATTTAAAATAAGATATTCCTGTTCTCATCCCACAGTGGAGAAATTTCAGTGTCATCGTTGCGCACATTACAGCAGAGAAAGAAGGAATTAAGAGCACTCAGATTTCACACATTAAACAGAGTCTATAATTTAAGATAATAGACAATATAATTAAAATAAAATAATGAGATGGAAAAATAGAATAAAATAAAATAAACTCTAGAGCTATAATTGCACGTGGTTCAGAAGTATTTACAAATGTGTATATTGTACTTTAGCAGCAGAGAATATAAGCAGAATTTGCCATTTTAAGCTGGAAGCTGTATAGCTAATACTGACACATTTACAGAAATGTTGATTAATGTGTACGGACCCTATTCAAATAAACTAATAGCCAGTAAGTGTGCCCCAG